TATATATATATATATATATATATATATGCATGCTTATGCTTTGTGTACAAAAAAGTAAAATTTCTTGGGTGCAGAGAATTCAGGAACTGATAATTTCTAGCTAGCAGTTTGGAATCATTGTTTCTAACATAAGCTTTTTTATTACTGACAAAAATTTCTGTCTTGCTGCGCCAGTCATAGTAGGTTGATTTTTGCAGATGCTATATGCCTATATGCCTTGTCTTATTCCCCCCATGTGCTTAATGTTATATACATTCATTTGTGTAGATTTATATAATGTATATACACATATATACATAAACAAATATGTTAATGCAGTTATATGATAATGTTACTTGTTCAGAAAGATGTAATATGCCGGTGAATACTCTACATACTGTACAGTCAGTGTCTGTATGAAAATTTTTGAATAAGTGGAATACAAATGCACTGTAAGGACTAAAATTGATAGGTATACTAAATGTGCAATGCTGCTTCTACAAGTAAATCTAAAACTTGACATCAATATATATAGAAAGAAAGAATGAATAAGTAATTGTTATAATCATGAGTAGGATTATTTGTCATAATCTTGTACAATTGAAAGCATAAAGTTATGAAGTTCAATGGATACATATTTCTGAAACATTTGGAACCGTCATTATTGGTAAGTATTGTGTCAAGAAAAAGTGTATGCAGAAGGCTTTTCATCCTGTTATATTTCATATTTTGAATCATATTTCAGACATATATGTTTTTTTAATTGGATCTTTTGCCTCTAAACAGCTTGTTAAACATGTCTTATTAATTAAGAAACTTTAAAGTCTACTTTGTTTGCATTGAAATTTGCATATTCAGATCTTTGAATGGTAGGGTGTAGCTAGAAGACACACACTTGCCTTTATTAGTTCATACATACAGTATCCCATTCACATAAAAAAGTGGTTGGAAAACAGTGCACCAGTTTTTGACATTATATATATATATATATATATATATATATATATATATGATATGATGGTTGACTCATTTGCAAGTAAAATTTCTACTTAAGTTTGGTAATACCAGGGTGTGTGTGGCAATACTCATGGCTGGGCTCCTGAGGTGTCATCCCAACCATGAGACTATGGCTCATGACATGATTTGACATCATAAGGTGTGAGAGAACTTTTAGCCATCACATGAATAGGTGTGGGTTAACAATTGTTTAACATAGCATGGTAGGTGCTTTATTATGTCATGATACTCTTGAAAGCATTTGCATGAGGGAATGTGAGGAGCTGAAGGCAATAAACACCAGGCATCTTATATCAGCAAAGCACTTTTATGTACTGAGGAGTCTTTGCCAAGTTAATGGCATTGTAAAAGAGGACACAATAGATAAAAAGTAAATAATTACAATTAAAGTGCTAATAGTCATAATGAGATCAAGAATTGGAATAAGAAAGAGAGAAAAATGTGTGATCATATTATATTTTTAAAGAAGCAGGAGAACAGGAGAAGGCAGTCCTAGCAATACTTGTATTTTGATTAAAAAAGAAAAGACAAAAGTAATTTGTCTCAGTTTGGGAAAAGGTTGTGGAATTACGAAAAGACACAAAAAAGCTTGAGAAACCCTCATCATATTCAAAATTGTGTTGAAATTAGAACAGAAGTTTGGTATTAGGTCTGATTTATTTTCAGATCTAAGGAGCGAGAAGGAAAGCAGGTACATATATTAGAAAGATTTTAATTTTGTGGGGGTAAATAGGTCAGGTTAGATAAGGCTATTGGCTAGATAAATAAGGTTATTCCAAACAAAAAGACTTATTAAAGGAAGTGTATTAAATGTTTCCAAGATGCTAAATGTTTGATTTCTAATATATCTGTGTATTTCTGCTGTTCCACCCCCCCCCCCCCTTTACCTTCTTAAAATTGTTTTGTGTTACCTTATTTGTCATTATGATTAATTAGTGGTCAAACAAAAGTATCACCCATGTTATCTTTTTTGTTCCTTGTGATTGTGGAATATATACTTTTATTTTTATTTTTGTGTTCTAGTCTCTGTAAAGAACATATTACGACATAGAACTCAGTCCTATGACAATATATTGATAAATGTAATAAGAAAGAAAAGGGAAAGTTTCACCTAGAATATATAAGTAAATACATTAATGAAATAGTATGACATTTCTTTCTATCTATCTATCTATCTATCTATCTATATATATATATATGTATATATATTATGTATATATATATATATCTTAATAACTTTTTATAGCATACATTATACGAAGTTATACGATATATTATATTATATATATATAGATATATATATAATTACATATATATATATTATATTATATTATATATATATAGATATATATATAATATGTATATATATATATATGTAATTATATATATAT